ATATTTTTATTTAATAAAAATTAAGTAAAATTATACAGTCAAAGAAGTAAACACGACTATAAAGTAGTATTAAAAATTCATTAATCTTATATCACCAGAAAATTTATGATTTTCCAAAACAAACTATGATTTTAATATATTCAAATTAAATTCATACCTTTCAAGTAATTACTTTATATTTTATTTAATGCATTAACAATGGGAAAAATAAGGAATTTTTACACTACATGAGGGTAAAATTATCAACTTTAGTAATAAATAACTAATATATAACAACGATCTTTTATTTTAAAATATGTAAAGAAATCACATGAAAAATATATGGTAACAAACAATATATAAGAAACATAGTGATTACACTAATATGTTTTTATCTTAATTTAATATAGCTGAGTTATGTAAAAATAAAATAAAATCCATCGTTTGTTAAATAGATAGGTAGATTATTTTAGAAAAAAAGAGTTTTTTAAAATAAAAACCCGAACAAAGTGAATGAAAAAAAAAAACATTTAAACCAAACTTAGTGAAATAGCTTTTGAAAAAAAAAAATCTTTTTGTTTCTATCCTCTCAAACAATTAATCTATTACATGTTCTTGTAGTTTATGGCACTATTTTATTTCTAGGTAAAGAATAATTGTCAGAAGGTGGTACTGTACATCAAGTGCCGAATAATATAAAATATAATTTTTCATTTTTGTTAAACTTTAATTATACAAAAAATATTAATTCTTAAATATACTTTAGTAGTAATATTTAAACTGTATGTTTTTAATTTTTTTTCAAAATAGTAAAATACAGTATTATTGATTAAAGTAAATAATTAATTTATAAAACGCGTATGGGTCAAATTGGGAAAGTAAAGAAAAATTGAGGGGGAAAAGGAAATAAAGGTCATTATTAGCAAAAGGCTGGTTTACGATCGGAAGGCGGAGGACCCAGTTTGCAATCAAACGTCACTGACGTGTCTGTGAGGATTGTGAAAAGGAAGTGAGGTGTGAGAATAGCAAAAGCCTTTTCTTTTAGATAATAAAGAAAGAAAAGAGAAAAAAAGCATAATAATAAGAATAAGAAGCAGAGGTGTTTGGTTTGGTTTGGTCCCATCGGAAGAGAAAAAGATGTTCGAGACGCAGCAGATGTACGCACGTGCGAAGACAGAGGAATTCGACGTCGAATCGGGCGAAACGCTCTACCCAGGGTTGAGCCTCGGCGAGAACCAGCTCCGATGGGGTTTCATCCGCAAGGTCTACGGCATCCTCTCCGCTCAGATCGTCCTCACCACACTCGTTTCTCTCGTAACCGTTTTCTATTCCCCAATTAACGACCTCCTCAAGGGAAATTCCACTCTCCTCCTCGTTCTCGTTTTTCTCCCCTTCGTCTGTAAGTTTTCTTTTTATTGTTTTCTTTTAGTTTTTCTTCCAACCTCAAATTCATCACAGAAGGAATTATCCGTTTCAAAACAATTCAATTGAGGGAGGAATTTAGGGATTTTATAACTACCTTATGGATCGATGATGAGGAGTGTGAAATGTGTTGCAGTTTTGATTCCCCTGCTCAAGTACCAGCAGAAGCATCCGCATAATTACATCTTCCTTGGACTCTTCACCGTCTCCATCAGCTCCACTGTGGGAGTCACGTGTGCCAACACCGACGGTTCGTATTTTGCTTTTCTGATCTCTGCAATTTGTGAAGATGGGAAAGGAAAGTGGTTCGGATGGTTGATCTGACATGAATTTGTTCTTATTATGCAGGGAAAATTGTGCTTGAGGCGTTGGTTTTGACTTCGGCTGTGGTTTCCTCTCTCACGGGATATGCTTTTTGGGCGTCCAAGAAGGGCAAGGATTTTAGCTACCTTGGCCCGATATTGTTCACCTCCCTGTTTACTCTTTTCCTCACCGGCATGATGCAGGTACCGCTGTTATTTCCTCATAATAATAACTAGTTTTTGGAATGTTAAGATGTGTGCATTATGCATGTTTATGAGGTTCTACTAGAAGGGGTTACCATAAATCATTTGTTGGATTCCCATTAGAAGAGGTGCCGCATTTGATATCCCGGTATGTGTTAAACAGGATTGTCTCCCCAATAGAATAGGTGTAGTCAACTAAAATATGGTTTTTTTCAAATGTATGTTTGACCTTTTGTAGTCTATGAATTTGAAACATGTTTTAAATCCTCTACCGAAATGTTTTAACCCTTACCAAGCCTCTTGGCCCTGTGATTGTAAGGTCTTAGGAACGATTTCAGCAGCATTAAAATTATGTAGACCATGTTCATGAATTAGAACAATGTTTGAACCCCAAACACACTTGGAATAAATGCTTTGAAAGGAGAACCAAACATTTGGTTGATTGTTGATGATAATAATGCATAATCAAAGTTGATTAACTGACTTGTAACTTGTTACCCACATGAGTGAAATCTTTAGCTGTGTTTGGGCAGAGAAATTAAATGAACTTTTTTTCCTTAAAATTACAAGACTTAACAGAACAGTTTTATATTGGGATTATAGACTAAAGACTGAGAACATATTTAAGTTCATAAAAAGGTGTATGAATAATGTTTGCGACTTTCCTCTTGCTTAAGAATTGTTGTCCTTTACAGATGTTCTTCCCTCTTGGGCCTACTGCCCATGCTATCTATGGTGCAATTGGTGCCATGATTTTCTCGGGCTATATTGTGTATGACACCGACAATCTGATCAAGCGCTTCACTTATGATGAGTACATTGGAGCCTCGGTCACTCTTTATCTTGACATTCTCAATCTCTTCCTTTCCATCTTAAGGGTCCTCAGGGAGGCAAATAATTAGACATCTTGAGGTTGAGTCATTCAAATTCAGAAGACTTTGTTGCATGATTATAATATACTGCTGGAAGCATTGTGAAATACAATACACTCTGCTTCCTTGTACTCATTTACAGCTTATGATACTTTGATCCAATGAAATTTAAAGCTTTACAATTGTATGTAAGCGTGATATAAGAATGAAGAATCTCCTATGCGAAATGTTTCTGCTTGCTTTGTTTTGACGTGGGTTGCTTTTCGATTTAATGCTTCATGTATTCATATGAATTAATATACTACCACCTGACTTGTGTGAGTAAAATTGTGATGTTGCTATTGTGTAAAATATAACGTGGAATGATTTGTTCTACAAACTTCTGGTACTATGTGGATGGTAACTTCTCGTCAAACGAGTATCCGTGCTGTCTCTTTTAGTTTCCACAGGAACCACTACTGCCTTTTCGTTTTAGCACCACTTCTTTACAACTTTCGTCATCTTTGTTTCACAATATTACACTGTGATTTCAAAAATGGCCGTTACTGGTTATCATGAAAAACCTACATAGCCATTGTCATGTTGTAATGACAAGTTACAAATCCTTCATCAATTTCTATCACGAGTGAATATTTTTGCTAATTTAACAAAAAAAAAATCATTTTTATAATATTGATTTATAAAATAAATTTTGTATTTATTTATGTTATAACATATTTTTAGTTTGTTGTCTTTGATATATATGTATCTCACACTCACGAATTTGAAATTATGAAAAATCAAAAGGGAAAGTGAGACTTGGATACATTTCACAAAAGAAGAATGTGATGGAAGTAGTGTAGTGTTACAGGGTGTATGTTTAAGTATTTTTCAACTTTGAAACATGAATTTGTGCATTGAACTGGTCCTGTTTTCCGTTTTCTACAAATTTTGTAGTTAGTCTTCTTGACGGGCAAATTATAAATCGTGGTGAACGGTGAACACATTCATGAGTATGTATGTAGGCAAAGAGAAAGTCCAAATAGGATTTTATACAGTTGCAGAAGTTTGTGCTCACGGTTATCTTTCCAAGATATCCAAAATAGGATTTTATTCACAGTGAACCTTCACACCAGAGTAAGGTTTTTTAAAAAAAACTTGCGCACCCAATAATGCTGTGTACACGCCTGTATGGCAAAATGTACGCTGTGAAATCATGATTAAAAAATTCTAAAAAGAAAGAAAGTAAAGTAAATTATGCTCACTTCCTGTAATTTCATTAATTTTCTCTTAGCATGTCTTATTTTCTCCTCTCAAAAGAAATTGTAAATTGTAATACTTTAAAATGTGTTGCACTCACTTTTATCACTCATTATCATTTTTTAATTGTTTGTAAAACATTTATTAATATTTTTAATTATTAAAAAGATATGCGTTTGGCAAGACATTTAAAATCAAGGAAATGACCTTAATCTTTTTTAGCAAAGAGAAAATATAAACAACAAAACCTGAAATATATTTTCTAAACGACTATTACCTCTCACGAGGCAAAGCTTATGTCGCCAACATTAGCAGGCATACAAAAGTATAAAATCCCAAACATCTAATCATACTATGTCCCCATTTTTCGTGACTTTATCATGAGATTCAGAACATGAGTACTTCTTGGAAAGAAATTAAGGAAATTAAAATTAAAGAGTTTGTCTATAAATTAATACAAGTTAAAAGTACAAAAATTATATGAAAAAATTCTACAAATTAATTTTACATTTTTCCTAAAAATTCTAGAGAAACTCATTATGCTCTTAAAAATTTTGGGTTAGAAACTTGATAATTCATTTGCACACAAGAGAAGCTTTTTTAATTAAATATTTCATTAGTTATAAAGTGGGACAAATGAACTTCAAAAAAATGAATTTTGCTGAACCAAACAGTTTAGGTACTCAAGTCTCCCGTCAAAAAAGAGGGAGTGTGTCATCAAAAGTAACTGAAAAATGTCAACATATTTATTTTACTCACTATTACGCGTTAAGAGATACGGTTCCAATGGATCAAAGCTAACAGCAAAAAAATCCAGCTTTTAGATAAGCAATGATTTAAATTGACCTTCTAAATTGATTTACCGCAAGATGCTGCCAGTTCGACACAACTGAATAAATTCATGTTGACCTTCATCTGAGTGATGTAAGTAATGTTATTCAATGCTGGAACAGGTTCATCAGTAATAAGGTGGCTCAATATGAGCCGATTATGTTATCCTTGTAAAATGGGAACAGAAAATAACTGAACAAGCCTTCCCTTAAAAATATGCACCGAATATGGTGCAAGAACCTTCCTCAAAGAGGATGACGAACCCACAAGAACTTACAACTGGTGTAAGACATAAAAACAATTTATTTACATTGTAAAGCTATAAGAAAAGAATTATGCACTTGATATGCAATCTGAGTTTAAAATTAAAGCAACTAATGATCTGAATTCCCGAATCCAGAATCTGCTTATGATTTGACTGCCTCCTCTTCATCTTCAATGTCCCAACTAAGATCCTCCTCATCTTGCTCTATCACACTCAACCTCTTCTGCAAATGAATCCTACTTGCGGACCCAACAGCATCCCCTTTATTCTCATCATTGCTTTCAATATCCTCAATTTCATCCCAGCCAATCTCTTCTTCTCCAGGCATTGAAAGCTGGCTTGAAACAACTGAAATATCACTGTCTTTGCACGATCCACTGTTATCATTATCTGCCTTACCTTCGGATGGCTCTTTCTCTTCGCATTTGGCATCCAAGTTGTCCCCACTGCCACTTTCATGTTCAGGAAAACTAGATGCAACTTTTTCTTTATATTTCCCCTCCTCCAATTTATCATCAACACCAGTTTTGGATTCAGGAGAAACACCCTTCCCACCGTCCTCTTCCTCTATATTCAAAGCCTTCTTCTCAGCTTGAATATTCTCAACACCCTTCCCATCATCCTCTTCTTCTATCTCTAAATCCTTCTTACTAGACTGAACAGTGTCAGCACCACCAACATCAGCAGAGTTTCCCTCTTTCGCCAATGAAACCCTACTGGTATTACGTAAAGGCTCATACCCATTATTGCCATCTTCATCTTCGTCTTCATCATCAAAATCCCACCTCAAATCCTCTTCCTCATTTCCGGAAATTGCACTCTTCACGAGCTTAGCTCTCGCATACTCGGCTTGCTTCAGCTTATGAAGCCTATAAAAATATCTGCTCCAGAAACTCTCGTGATCAGTCTTACTAGGTACAACCTTCTCATAAATCTCCTCAACAGCCCCACTCTCTTCAAACAAATCCCTAATCTCCTCCTCCTTCTTGTCCAACTCAAACCCTAATTTCCAGTCACTGAATTTCTCTAAATCCTCAGGATCCTCCAAATAGCTATTCACATCACACTGAAGCGCCTGCACCAGATTATCAAACCTTCTATACCGTTTCAAATCCAAACCCCGATCACTACTACCAACACTCAACAGTTTCTTGCCAGCATTGCTATTATTACTGTCGTAATTAATCGAATCGAATGAATCGGAATCAGAGGCTAAAAACGAGTCCCTACCGTGAGAGATAATCTGCGCCGTCGAATTCCAAACGGTGCTGCCGATGTCGTCAATGGCTTGGCCAACGGACTCGAGCGACTCCTGCGCCACCGCTGCGCCAACGTCGAGCGACGTCGGAAGGTCCTTCACGGCACGCGAGGCAGCTTCGCGTATCACCGCCGTCTCCTTCCTGAGCCCCGAGCCGAATTCCTCGAAATCGCGACGGTAGTTCTCGAGGACGGACTCCGATTTGGAGGCGAGGGTTTGGATGAGGTCGCCGAAGCTCCACACGGCGTTGCTCTGCGGTGGATCGGGGCCTTCCGATTCAGTTGGCGACGATTCGGGTAGCGGCGATCCAGGCGGCGGTGATTCGGGTTCGTCGGAGAAGACGGACTTGAAAAAGTTCATGACGGTGTGGTTACGCAATATTCTGAGGAAAGCGGAGAAGGTTTATGAATTGTGGATTTTGCCCACGGTGATCATGGTCGGTGGATGTGTATGTATGTGTATGTATGGCGAGACAAGCAAGGCATGTGATTTGATTTTATAGTGCGATGTGATATGATGCGCATGAATGTAAATGGAATCGCATCCACGTCCCATGAATCCAATTATTCTAGTGCAATGCTATCTTCTATTTTAAACCACTCTCTGTTAGTTTCGGTGCAACGTCAACAGATCACTAACCACAATATTATTTTACATAATAAATGTTTTTTTCTTAATTAATTATATAATATGTTGATTATTTTATTGTTTTATAAAAAAGACTAAATATATCTGAGAATTTTATATAACCAATGAATCAAGATAAGAACGATAGTTTAGGTTGTTAGTAATTCGACAATTGTATTTCTTAAACGAAGTTTGGAATAAGGATGGAAATTAGTGAAGTTGAACCTAACTATTAAAGTTGGATTTGATTTATATAAAAGAAAATCATAGTTCAACTTTGACTCGTTTAATCAATTGAATTTAATTAAAAATTCGATTTTGGCTTACTAAAAATACTAGAAATTAAAAATCATAGCTTGTCATGACTTAAATAATTTTGCTTCTATGAAAAAAATTCATAAATTATTTTTCAACTATCAATGTAGTATCTAAACATTTTGTAAATCTACTAATAGAAAACATATATAACACTTTTTTTAGAAAAACAATTCGTATATTTTAAAAAATGGTTTTTGACAAATGTAACTTCCTAAGATTTTAATAAAACCTAAACCATATATTTTTTATTATAAACTTTTTAAGTCTAGGGTTCAATTTTCATTTAAAGGATGACTTTATTAAAGAAATAACGGGAAATATACTATACCTCATTATTATAGAAAAAAATAATTCATTCCATAAAAGCTTTTTAGATTTTGTAAAAAGAACCGAAAATGAGAAGAATATAAACCAATCAGCAAAAATTACAGTGAATCAAGGCCAATGGCATCTTCATCAAATAACTATACCAGCATCAAGGTTCCATAATTTTAATTCAGCTTGTATTACAAACACGTTTTTGGTATCTCTTACACATAAGAACTCACGGACTTTTCAGCAGATAAGTTGCTTACAAACAGCAGCACGAAACCTTTACATCAAATTAGCTTTGGATATACACGTCACAAAAAGACTTGTTACAAAATCACACACAGCTGCTGTAGGAAAATATAACTTAGCATGATAGCCTTTCAATTTCCTTGATGATAAACTCCTTTTCCTCCTCAAATTGCTCATCTTCCGAACCTAAAAAAGATGACAGAGGGGGGATACTGATTACATGCAAGAGAAACTGAATAGAAATTCAGGGGAACATTGTGTAATCATAGGTTTCAAATCAAGCAGTTACTGAAAGTATTGTAACCTTTTCCTGGGGACAGATTATGAAGCAATTCTAGTAGTTTTTCCTGGTTCTTCGCCAAAATAAGTTTTACTTCTCGAGGCTTATGGGGATTAGCAACGAAAACCTGGATTAACATGTAAGAAATATAAAACAAATATAGATGATCATCTACACAACAAAATGTGATGCTGTAGGGGATATATTTCTTCAGAAAAAAGAAAATAAAAACCCTTGAAATCAAAAGTATAGATGTCTAGAAATTAAAACATGTTAAAAAAAGTGCCTGAAGAAGTCTTCGGGAACTTTCTGCATATTACCAACTTATGATGAGGAGATTTATTCTACCTCAAATATTGGAAAGAGATTTATGTTAGAATGTCTTTACCCTAAAAGCAGGTTTTGTTATAGAAATTTTCAACGCTACACAGATGTATATTAGGAGGCCTAATCTGGTTTTGATTCCTTTCATACATCCACAAAGGAAAGCTCTTTATATACAACTTAAAAGCATGAAGAGGATATTTCACCTTGAAAATGTGGAAGGCTGATATCTGAATGTTTTTACTTGAATCCTGTCCAACCCAAAATGTGGCAAATAAACAGTTAGCAGAAGATACAAATATAAGGGAAAAACAAAATCATTGATGTGCTCCATTTAGTCCCTTTTTCTCACTGAAGCCTTTTATTGGTCTTCTCACATGAACCAAACCACCTATGGAAAATATTTAGCACTTTCTTCTAAATAGGTGTTAGTTCAACATTCTCTTGGATGCATTCTTATCTGCATTAGCCTCACCTTTTTAATTTTATAGGCACTCCATTGCCAAACATTCATTACATCCATAAGCCCTGATATTTGTGATCTCTGGTGGTAGTGGTGTACTGGTGTCTATCTTAATTTTCACACTAATATAATATTACATATAACCAAATTGACCACATGTTGTTAATCAACTATGAAATCATTAAAATCCATGAATTATCAAAAGAAAATGTATTTGAACAGTGTTTCCCGACCTGATAAATCAATTTAGAAAAACATACAGCAGCAAATTGGAAGTAAGGAAATTACATGCAATAGTAGTTATATAAAACATAAAACAGAACAAAGAGATCCTATAAATACAACAAAATATTCTTCATTATATGTGTCGATTACAGTTAACAGGGAAGCCAAGCTATACAACACTTCACAAAGACAAGGAATGTTCAGCTGTGCAAAGCATGCTGCATTTATCATGAATATCATAGCAAGTAAACACATTAATTGAGTGTCATGTGGGTATGCCCATTAGTCATGGGTAAAAAGTAGAATATCACACAACTACACAGGGTTATGAGAAGTTATACCCTCAATAATGTCATCATGACTTTCAAGTAACGAACTTCTAAGATGTACCGCTTCATTATCTGAGAATTAGGAGATTCCAAAAGAAAATCCGAAAGAAGCTAAAACCCAAAGAAATTTAATTGTTAAAATAAAAAATAAAAATATGATCAGGAAACAAAAACATTAAAGTGTTGCAAGAACAAACCTTCAAAGACTGCCTCCTCGTGACATAATTAGGAGATGTCAAAAGTCTCTCGTATAGATCAAAGAACTGGAAACATAAAGTCTTATTAGGAAAGTTCAAATGTAATATGGGAGATAAAGTCCAATTTGCAATATGCACCATAGGCATATTCAAATACGAGGATACAAGCACCTAACTATCATAAAAGTTAGGTTGATTTTATTTTCTTAGAGATTTGACCTGGTGGGTATAAATATCATATGAACACAATCAGAGATGGCAAAAAATTCCGCGCCCGCAGATATCCGCGGATAAAATCCGCGACGGTTAGTTGGTACCCGCGGATATTTACTACCTGCTGGTTGCGGGTAACGGGTTTTTTAATACCCGCTTATAAACGGGTCAGGTGCGGATATTATACTATCGGTACCCGCAGATATCCGCTACCCGCAAAAAATAAAAATAAAAATTTAATTTATATTTTACTAAGTTAAATTTAATTAAAATTAACATTAATTTATATTTTATAAGGTTAAATATAATTAAAATTAAATTTCAATTTATATTTAATTTAATATATATTATATTTTATATATTTCTTGTAATTTTATTTTTAAGTTTTATTATAATATTTTATAAAAATATATTTTTTTAAATATTTGCGGGTATCCGCGGGTATCCACGGGTTTTAAAATATCCGCGGGTAATTTTTAAGCGGGTATCCGTGCGGATAGCGGGTCAGGTAGTGGGTGGATTTTTTTTTGTCGGGTCGGGTTGCGGATAGGCACTATCCATGCCCGACCCGACCTGTTGCAATCCCTAGACACAATCATAGTGAGCTGTCAAAAATTCAGATAAATATGTCAAGGATGAAACAAACCTCATCATAGTGAGCTGTCAAAAATTCAGAGACCACATTTACATGCTTAGTGAGAAGATCCTGCAAAAGCATACCCATAGGGAAGTGTGAGGAAGTGTCATGTAGAGTTTTACAATCATTAGTAAGACAAATAAAGGGAATCAAAATGGGGGACGATTCTGTTCTTACCTTAAAGGTAGAAAATGCATCAGATGCAACATCAAAGTTAGGCAACTCTACAAATTTAAAGAACAACACAAAACTAGCAGATTCCAATATGTACCTGAAAAACACTCAAAAAATACACAAGGTTAAAACAGTGTGATTTCATTGACTATAACACAAACATCAGACTCAAAATACACATTGATAGTGAAAATCAACTGTTAATTTTCACTTACAAAACAATTTAATCCCCTACTATTTTAACAGTTGAATTTCATCATCCTCATGCCCAAACTCAATAAATTATCCCATTGTTGTAATCTCCTTAATAAAGTAATGTAAGTATGGAATTACAAACCATAGAAACCCATGGTGATGTTGGAGCAAGGAATAACAATTAAGTAGAATGTCAGCTCTAATCAAGCACATTCAAACAATGTAGTTATGCCAACCTATTGCACTATACTTATTGTGATGATGCAGAAAAAATTATGTTTTCCTTCTTACAATATAAAAAACATGTCATTCATTGCACTTTTTTTAAGCCCATTAAAGCAATCCTCTAATGCAAATGTAGATCAAAATCTCGGCATGATCAATCTTAGCACGCAATAAACATAAAGATATCAGAGATGAAAAATAAGAAGCAGAAAATTAGGAAGAAGACTAAACAATGACAGCCCAAGATATCTTACCTTGCAAGTGATGGAAATTTGATGCACTCCCGCAACATTATGCCACAGCTCAAGGCAATATCTTTGTTATCATAGCTGCTTGGAAACAGATATAGAGATGTTTTGAGCAATGCGTTTATATTTATCACATTTGAGCTGATTGATCACATACAAATATACAATTGTTCAATTATAGGCCAGTGAAACTAAATGTGTTTCAGATTTCTGCAAGATAGCTCAAAAGATTTGCTTGACACTGTAATTTATTTCTAAAAGAACTCATTTTACATTTATCAAATTAGAAAGTTGTAAGAAAAATTGTTTGTTTAATGAAAAGGGAAACAAAACACAGAATACCTGACATGTTATGTCACAATTGAGAAATCTTCTAATGGATAATTTGATCAAAGCATATGATTAAGAGAGAATAAATTATGCAAAAAATCAGAAGTAGGTTGTATCTGCTTTTGCCCAAATTCATTCTCACGAAGGATTTTGTAAACAAAAAGTGAAAACATTTAAAGAACTCTTTTAAAAGGAAATGGAAAACCAACCTTGGGCATATCAAAGATTGTGGGATTCCAATAAAATTTGTTTTATCATTGGTTTCACATCTAAGGAAATTGAGGTTCAGTTCTGTACTCCAAATTTAGGGAAAATATCATTTGGAAAAGTTTTCACAGAAGAAATACATTTACTAAGGTACCGATGTTAAAATTACAATAATGCAGTAAATTGCCAACTAACACAAACTGTGACCTTAGTTGATATTTACTTATATGTATATGCTTGTGTTATATAAAAATATAAAAATTTCCAAATAGTTCCATCTTGCTGTAGTGTTTTTGGGACAGTTGTTGGACACCAATACCCAAGGTTTGAAACACTATGATAAACTCTATATCTAAAAATATTAGATGTGTAATATTATAAATTTCTCATAATGAACTGCTCATAGAATCTCCCATGACTGTAGGCATTTATTTTCAACTCTACAAAACGTGTAATAATTTTATGGCATAAACTGCAAGATAGAGTAGCTTCATTTTTTGTGATATTAGTTTCACCACCTAAAATCATTTTCAAATGTTAGCCTTCTGCAACTTTTTCCACAATCATATCTTTGAAAAAAAAAATCAAATTCTCTTCATTTCAATTGGGCTTAGAGCATCACTCTCATCTTCCATCATGAATACAACTAGAAAAGGTGACCTTCACATTTGAAACAAGTGAGAAGGAATGGAACAAAAAGCAGTGCATGCTTGGCACGGAAAAAGGTGCACCAGTAAAAAACTTACCATACAACAAGAAAGTCTAGTAACTCGGCATGTTGTTCAATGTATTCTACACAGCAAGAATTGGAATCAACTTTATGTTTCAATAATATTGACCAACAGTGGACTAAATCCTTTCTGGCCTGTATCAAAATTCACACACCAATGATGAGCAACGAGTTAAGACAACTGCAGACATTAGAGCTTGGAATCGATCTGAACTTACTTCCCATCCTAGTATAGGCAGCTTGTGTATTAGAAGAGTAAGGACGTCCTCCTTGCAGATTTCATCCACTAACTGTGAAACCTGATCCAAATTTGGTTCTGACTCTCCATCTCCAGAAAGCATCGTTCTCATTGTTGCAAAATTCTTTTCAACTTCCTCTAAAGCCTACAATGAAGCATGAAAGGCATCCGTAATCAATAACCACTAACAGTAACTGCAACTAAAAGAAAGGCTTCACAAATCTGGAGCAATTTCTTTCTTCATTTTGCTTCTCTCAAGAAAAAATACCAACCTCAAATGGGAAGAATTTGAAGCATGTATAAGATAAAAGAAACGTAGAGTGTGAACACAATCCTCTTAGATGATTAAAAGTTCAAAAATCAGATTGTAACACGAAATGTCATTTTTTACTTTGAATATTAACCTTGCTTATTTTGTTTATGCTATATCACTCATGAGGGTGTTGAATGTGCATGTTTATATTATTCAACCATTATATGTACCATTAGCAGACAAACCTAATGCCTGTAGCTTCTTTTACTTTCTGAGCAGTTTTCAATTATTGTAGTTCAACAAATGTGTGTATTTTCAACAGACACTGCTCCCTCCCAGTAAAATACTGACACATTAATTTGAGCCTCATGCACCCTTAAGGCTCAAGGTCGTTGATTTAAATAGCTGTTATACCATAATGCTATAATGTGGCATTTTTTTATTCCTCCACCACAGGCAATTTGTGAAGGGAGGCTGCAATAGCCTGTTTATGTGATGGACTTTTGACCTCCTTTCCTCTACCATTGATAACTTTTTTTTTAAGGCTGAAAGGCTTTTTGCCTCCAGGTTAGATACCAATTCCATCAGTGAACAACTTGTGGGCCTATGTTATCACTGTTTGTTAATGCCGACTGATTAAAAATTGGCTATCAAACGACTTGGAAATTAGGCCTTAGAGGAGACAATAAATGGTCGCGCGAACAATGTTGTAACAGCTCCCCACGTGAATGACTTACCTCTGAAAGGAACCCGAGGGACAGACAATACAATTGTGAATGAACTTCCAATAGACAATCTTCAGAGTGCGAGAGAGTTCCAAAGGTTTCACATGACTGAAGCAGACAACATAACCCATGTGGACGCAGAAAGACCTTGTATACACTGACAATTTGTGTATCAACAAAACAGGAGGAGGAAATGAGCCAATTTCCATCAGGAAAACTTTCATGACTTAGAAAAAGAGTGCCCCCTCTCCATTAGGGAAAACACATAAACATGCTTAAAAGAATTGATCACTTGTAAGTTGGAGTCTCTTCTGCAAAATACAATTCCGTCACAATTGTTCCTAGAACAAAACCACTCATGCAACAGGTTACATACACAAATGACTAGTTTTCATGTAAAAGGTAATATTTTTTTAAAGCACAAAAACACGCTACACAATTTGCCGAAGCTGTTATGAGAATTGTAAGACCTGCCCACGATTCAAGAGCGGAAATTTAAGCGAGAAAGCAAAGACCCAGATAGAGCATTGAAACCATGGATCAAAAGGGTGGTAATTACGCGAGTGAATCTAATGTGGGGCGAGTAGGTGAGGAAGAAATCGAGAACCTTACCTTTTCAAGGGCTTTAACTTCACTGACGGTTTTGGTATCTAGGGCCACGAGGCTCTCCTTGATGGACTTAGCCACCTCCTGCGGTGTTTTAGGCCTCAAAGCCTTGAAAAACGAGAACGACATGATGATCGATGATCCTTTCTCTCTCTGTCGCCGTTGATGTGGGGATGATAAAGAAAATGCTGCTGCTGACGCAGTGTTTCCTCTTCTTCCTTTGAACCTTCTTCTGTTTTCGATTTCAACAACTCATCATCGTCATCATGATTTATGAGTCACCATCACCAACAATACGGAACCCGATCATAGAGCGAAAGAATCTTAGTGCCAGGGTTATTTCTCTTTTCTTATTTTTCCTACCCAAACAAAATTATAAAGCTTTTTTTAGCGTCCAAACCCAAATCCTAGAAAATAATTTGATAAAAAAATTATAACAATGATATTAAAATATTAAATCAATATAAATTTTGAAGCTTTATCCTCGTTGACAAAGTTCAAAAGTTTTCAGACCTTGGCTTCTAATATTAATTTTTTTTAGCCATAAAAAACAAACTCATATTTTTTGTTCTTTGTTTATTATCCATGTGGTTTGTGGAGTGGAGGTGATCCAATGGACTACTGTCCCTCCAAAATTAAGCTTTTGGCGCTCTTATACTAAATCCATCAATTATACCCTTTATTTTTCAACTAATTGGATTAAATCTAACTTCAAAAAACAAAATTAACTGTTTAGTGTTTCTCTATTTTTTTATTACATTTAATCAAATTTGAACTCAGATTATCTTTTTATGAATTTATAATGGATAAAAAAAATAATTAATTTGGAATAGAATAGAGTTACAAGTTTTATGTTCTTTTTTCAATCAAATTTGTAGTTTAGAAAAAAAGAATAATATATATAGAGAGAATAATTAATAATTTAATCAAAAGTTATATATATA